ACTGAGAGTAAGTGTGGAGGTGGGGATGTGCTCTTGCTCACTGTTTGCTAATGGGATGTGAAGCCTATTGTAATGCTCTCCATATGATAACAGTCACCACAAAACAATGCATCACTGCAGCCACATTAACACATTTCAGTCTATTATCACAGCCACCTGCTTCAACTGCTCTTTTACATGTCTGGTGTCTGTCTGCCTACCTGCTTTAAGCCAGTCTGTGTCTTGCTCACTGTATGAGTAAGAGCGCACAAGCCAAATAGTCTGCTTGCCTGTCTGTCCACCTGTCTCCTTCTACCAGGCTGGTGTTGTTCTTCTGCTTGTGCAACCACATGTATTTTAATAAAATGTATACAACTTACAACACACATTCACACCGAACTCGCAGCCCACACTCAGACTGGAAAGGGTGACGAAAAAATAATTAAAGTTTTTTGGACACAATATTAACAAAACATAAATATGGGAGAAATGTAACACCTATCAAAACGTTCTACTCTCCTAATCTGTGCTTCCAATTCAGTTTGTCCTTGAAGCTTTCGCAGCTTTTCGGGCTCCTAATAAGATATTGAAACCACTGCAACTTCACACACAGCCCCTAATATGCTGAAACAATGCCAGTGCTGTTGTGAGCACATGTAATGCAGAAGATAAGTTCTGATGTTTTCAGGAGGCAGTTAACTTTAAACATGTAGATATAAAGGCAGCTCGTCTCTCTCTGCAAGTACCGACAATTAGATATAAAAGGTTAGCTTCAAATTATGAGAGGGAGCATACATCTGTGCAGTGGTAATTCAAAAAAAAAAAAAAAGAAGTAGCAGAAAATAAAAATCTAGTAATGTTTACATGATACCAAGCCTGACCAGCTTAGATACGTTGACTCCGATTGTGGGGATGAGGATGAAGCGTTCCTTGATTATATTTTCCAGCATGACAGGCTTAAACCTGCAGAACATTAATGCACCGTAAGTGCACTTAATCAAAAGTGATAGTAGTGTTTCCCACACAAAGACTTTACTCATACTCATACATCCTATGTAATATTAACGGCATTTCGCTTTCACTGACAATTCTGTTAGTCTTATTTTGAAAGTTTTTGAAAGCCTGGAACTTTCCCCATCTCATGTTTCCCCACCACAATCAGGTTGTTATTGTGGTCCACTATGTGATTCAGCTGCTTTTCAAGAAAGGATGTCCTCCTGCAAATGTACTCCAATGTAACCATCAATTATTTCTGCCCAAGAGGTCTACTGTGAGCTGGAGTGCCACTTTAACCAGAACCTGCAGTGGATGGAGAACTGGTTGATGTGCAGTAACAAGGACTACAGTAACTAGCTGTAGTCCTTGTTTGGGATAAAATGTCAGAACTTGGCAGTGAAATCTGTTTCTGTCACTATAAATATTTTTAACGATAACTCCTCTTAATTCCAAAGTGCTTGATTCTAATTCTGAATTACAAGAAGCTTAGTGGGAAACTAACACGGCACTCATTGTGGCAATGACACTATGATGGAGTTCTTTGTGTTGTTGGGTTATTTTTTTTAAAGAGCTATACTATCTCTGGAATATTTGGTGGAGCTCTTCACTGCAATCAGATCTGGGACAAACTCATATGTATCAGTAAAATTTTGTTTTTAATTTGAGGGAAGATTTGACTATGTACAATAACTGCTTGTCCAGCTGGATGTTGTTGTTGTTTTTCCCTCTTTAGCCTGTTGGAAGAGAATGGAAATGCCCAGAGCTGGAGTGAGTCTAGGCCACAGCAAGAGAAACATGAAATGTATCTGATAATGGCTGCACAGGATGACCTTGTGCAGTCCCCGGGCACAGATGGAGAAAAAACAAAGATGTAGCGGTAAACAGCACAGGAGCAGCTTCAGAGCTATTTTTTTAAACTGGCTCATACTGTGGATGATGAGAAACACAAATGTGATCCCCAAAAGCCCACCTGGCAGAGGGATTCAAGGGCTCACCAGCTAGAAAATGTTATGCTTTACCATAACATTATTTATGTGTGTGATGAGTTCATGTCCCAGTAGTACATGGTAAACATTCAATTTCAACTACAGAATGTATCCACAACCTAAAAGCAGCTACGTTGCAGGTGAAATTAAGTAGAACCTCTTAAAGACAGCTCTACATTCTTGTGAAACTCAAACTCAATAGTTAATTTCTGCTGACACAAAGCCAGTGATCAACCGAGAGCTACACAGATTTCCACCTAACATTGTGGCTATGGCGGGGCTTCTGTAAGAAATTCACCAATGTTTGGCAAATGCAGTCCATTCTGTATGCCATGACTTTCTGCTGGTAATGCTATGTTGATGATAACATTTCTCAAACCTGGCAAAATGTGGGCTGAGTCCTGAAAGCCAACAATGACAACAATTTCCATTGGTGGAAAAGCGGTATCAGTGACTCTGAACCCAGATAAGCTTACTCCATTGTGCTGAGGACTGTTGAATGCCATCAAAGGTCAGCATCTACTGCACTATTCCTGACCTTTGACGAGCTCTGCATGGTTCAGGTCTAACAACAAAGTGAAGGCATGGGTGTTGGAACTGTGTTAGAACTGTCCATGGTGCTTAAAACAAACCGGAGGGGCTCATATTACTGACTTTCTACACTGTACGTATCTTAGAACTATTAATGATTCTGAAATCATTGATAGCTCTTCATCATATCTCTCCACCATACTGGAAACATGCTGGACCCTTGAAGGAGGGTCATGGTCCTGAATGCATATTAACATGTTTAAACTGCAAAGCACCACCAGCATTGCAGGAGCTGTCCATGGTGTTGACCAAGGTTAGAGCGAACGCAAACTGAATTTAAACTAAAACTAGGTGTAAAAATACACTTTTTTCAAACTGAAGGCAAAAAAATAGGCTTTTGAAAAAAAGACTGAACAATACTGTGTGCTTAGAAAATTTAACTTAAATAAAAATGCAGTTTTTAAATAGTTTAGTATAGTTAGCCTTTGTCAGTGTTGTCACACCCGATAGTTCTTATATTGTTCCTCTGAAAAATACTTTCCATCTTATAATATTTAAGTTCTTACCAAAGTGGATCATCTACCTCCAGCTCACCCTGTCCCTAGTAATCTGCTGTCACACCATCCCTCTGCACGTCCTCCTTCATTACATCCATGAATCTTGTGTCATCTTCTGTTTTTCCTCATGCCTGGTATCTTCAACATATCCCTGCTCTATGCAAAAATGAACTAAAGCTAAACATTTCCAAACTATAAATACCAAGTTAAAAAAAAAACACTGATACAAAATACAACACTGAAGCTACACCAAGTCAAAGCTTGCTCCTGCAATTTACCCATGCTGTAACCACATTACTTCTTTTTGTTGTGCCTGAAACATTTTAGACAGCAGTGAGGCCCTAATGAGTGCTCTGTGGTCCTGAATTCACAATAGCATGTTTAACCACAAAGTACAACCAGTTGTGTTTAAGCTGTTCAGGTGTCCCAGGTGCTGACACCAAACAAAAGAGGGTCTGATTTCAGAAAATTCTTTCTGAAGAAGAAGTGGAAACTATAAGTGGATCTGAAAATGCACTGACTCCATCTATTCTGCTGAAAACAAGTTAGGCCCTTTAAGGAGCTCTCTGTGATCCTGAATTCATTTTAACATGTTTAAATCCAACCACAAGCTACTGGACTTGTTTATGGTGCTATCACCATACTATGGGCACCCAAACACCTGTATGTCAGGCTCCCTGCTGCACGGTGTAGGAGGTTTCTGTGGTTCTGACATTACAGTGGCCACGTGCAAACTCAGCAATGCCGGCCCCTGTGGAGCTCTCCATGGTCCTGAATCCTCCACTTGGTAGCTTGACTGAAGTTACAATCTGCAGATATTTTCAGTTGGCCCTTTCAGATCTTTATGTGGAACAGAAGCTCTCTCAGTGTGGAGCTGTCCCTTTTTCCTAACCACTCCCTGGCTCCTTCCCTTCTGTTAACAAAAATCCCAGACAAAGAACCTGCTGTGCATTGCTCCTCTCTGCATCTTCCAGCTTTCACACAACAGCATTTGGCCTGATTGTTTTTATGTTTCTTGTTTCCCTGGGATTTTTTGCTTGCACAATAAATGACCAGGTGTGATGGTTCCCAGAGCACCTGCTTCTTTGAGCACGTAGCTGCAGAAGTTAAAGGCTCAATAAAAGCTATAATTATGTTTTGATTTATATCCAACACATTCTGGGAACAATGCCTCTTGTTTTCCCATTATTATCCGGCCCCCTCTGCCCCTCTCTACACCTTCTCCTGTTCTCTCCACCTCCTCCCTTCCTGTATCACCTTCTCCTCCCCACCCGCGTCACCTCTCCTTCACTCTTGTTCTCATCTCCTAGCCTCCTTCATAATAGATGCGGTTGTAACGGCAGTCAGCTGGAGCGGCATGATGAGGCAGCTTTAGAAACGGAGAGTGAGACAGAAACAGAGAGCTCCCCAAAATGGGTTCTTCTATCACTGCGCTCCCACTCACAAACACGCACGCATGCGCGTGAACGGACGCATTCATTCACGCGCGCGAAACCTAGCATGCGTGCACGCACTCGCGCATTCCCATACACAGGCACGGCGGGGCTGCCAGCCTGGCCGGTGCACCCGGAAACCAATACAAGCGCCAAAGAAATGTCCACAGAGCCAAAACAGCAGTTTGTCTTCGAAGCAGCGGAGAGTTCAGCTTTTTGGAGAGCTCTAAATAAACTGTCTGTAGCCTCAGAAAACGGCAGTGCCACTGACAGTGCCCCCACAAACAACACAGAGAAGTCGCACACTGAGCCGGGTTCTGGAGGAGCCTAATCAGATTACAGCGATGATTCATTTCCTGGGCACTAAGAATAAAACTACTGTTGGCTCTAACATGAGCCTGGCATCCCCGTGGCAGGGGCGAAAAAAAATTAACCGCATAGCAGAGCTCGGTCCCACCGAGCATCCTCTGCGCGCATCACACACACTGCATTATTAACAGCCGATCAATTAGCCTTACCTTCATCGATCACCAACTCCTCTCCTCCTGATGTGTCTCTTTTCTACCCCCTCCACACAAATCCTCTCGTCTTTCTCCCCCGATCGGTCCACTAATGGAAATCACAGTGAGGACTCCCCTCTCAATAAAATGCTTTAAAGCCGATCGGGCTCAGCACCTTATCCCAACTCACGGTCTCCCCTCTTGCGCGATTCCTTCCCTTGCACATGAAGCGAGAGGGGCTATCTTGGTAGTTTTTTGTTTGTTTGTTTGTTTTCTGGTGCTGAAAAAAAGCGGTGTGTGTGAAAGAGAGTGTGTGAGTGAGCTCAGGCAGCGGAAAAGACTTGCGCGCGGTTAGGCAGCAGAAAAGAAAAAAAACGGGGCGAAGAAGGGATCCAGGTGCCGGTGGGCTTACCGTGCACAGCCACGAGAAACACTCCTGTACACGTAGTTCCTGAAAAGAACAGGATGGGTGGGTGGCAGAGGGGAGGAGGTCACACCGCTGTTGATAAAACTCCTATTCGCCTCAAAAAGCCCAAGTAACGTTACTCCAATAGCGTATTTAAAGTAACGGGCACGGAAGAGCTATCTGCATCGATGCTGGAGAACAAGCCTCAGAGAAAAGTGGTGCTGAGGGGCTAAAGAGCTTTAATTCCGATAATCTGAAGTCCCCGTAGAAATCCTGCTCCGGCTTGTGCTTCAAAACCCAAATACTGCCAGGCTGTAAGAAACTACACCCACCGACACTGAAGGTGTCCTTGAGTACAAAAATAGGAGCTTCCGCTTTAGGGGCTCTGAATGGCTGGACTGCTCCCAAAATCATGCAGGTATCCCTCCAGTAAGGGCCCCTTTTAAACAGATAACCTAAAACAATTTCACTTTCCAAACATTCCAGGTGATGAGCGTCGTCTCCGTCCGTCTGCACGCCCAGCTGGAAGCTGCCAGTCCTTTTCTTTTCCCCAAAGAGGATGAAATCCCGGTCCGGGCGGTGTCCGGCAGCTCCGTCCTCCGTTATCAATTATAAATCACACCGCTGACTCTGATATTCCGAGAGCGTTTTTAGGGAGGAAATGCACTTTCAGAGAAAACTAGCAATCTTGTAGCGATGGCTAAAACTGCACTTTTAACAAGCTACGCTCTTGCTTCACGTTGGTGGAGGCTCGCAGATCCGCAGCAGGCTCTGCATGCCGAAAGTCGCTTATCTTTTGAGGGAAAATCAGCCCACGGTTGGAGACGGCGATAATCCTTGTCGAGGCTCCGAAACGTCACATTGTCGCTCACATTTCCTCCGTCGTCCGGTCAAATCCTCCGCTTACACCCGCTCGGTATCCGACCCGGTGTTGTGTACCGTGGCAGCTGCGGCTGGGGCTAATTCCTCAGGAGACGCTTAAAGTTTGAAAATCAGCCACAGAATCCAGCGCGTGCTTCCCGCCCGTCGGAGGCGGCTGTAGGCGCACAGGCTGGCTCACGAGGATGACTGACGGCAGAGGGAGGGAGGGGGGCACGAGAGGCTGTTCGAACAAAAAGACACACCCATGAAATATCTATCTATCCATCTATCGGTATATCCCGTGCTGCTGCTTAAGCCCGGTTATATTCAACGTATGTTCGCAGTTTTTGGAGTTCATGGGTAAAGGCAAGGTGCCTTACTCGTTTCACCAATTTAAGAATGCAGTGCAGTCGACATCAATTAAAAATCTTGATTTAAAAAAACACCCGTTTATTGGTGTTTTTTAATTGTTATTTTATTGTGTCGTTTAAAAGGTTACCTGTTTAGAAAGATGGTCAGAAGTACTTTTAAAACTGAAAATACTTAAAGTAAAAGTGCGCAAAATGCCAGAGGTCAGAGGAAGGTGTAAAATGTACTTTAACATGTACTTTAACATAGCAGCAACAAAAGATTGTCAAGAAATTACCATCAGCTCTCATGTAATATCCAGTCAGCTAGCTAGCCAGCTACAGGTCTACTTCTCTTACTCCCACTGAGGGATTGGTTGTGCTATTAGCTTCAAAAGCCTATATGGCTGGAATCATTGTTCATTCATCACTTCTGGTTGGATAAAGAAAAAGAAACAGTTATTGATAACATTCAACTCCAGACTTCACATTGGGACATCAAAACGTTTGGGACATCAGTGTGGCTACATCTATCTTTGATATGGCCGACAGTGTTCAAACAGAATATGTCTTAAGTCATCCAGGTAAGGAAATCCCCAAAACATATTGTCTTTCAGTAATAATTACTTGTTGTGTAATCTGATTTGTTAGCTCGGGCTTCTGTCCCCGCTGCTAACATGGAGTGGTCAGGGTTCATGACCCACACAGCAACCAGCCCCAGCCGGTACCTCAATAACATGTCTCCATCTTCTCATTCATTACAGTAATGCTGGCTGCAAAGTGTGACACCAGCACAAATGAGTGGACCAGTTTTCAAGATATTGTAGGTTCTGTTCTGGGAAGCTTTGTTGTCCACCTTTATTTACAGTCTGTGAAGGAATCACCCTCTACTTAAGGTGCAGCGCCTGTATGATGCAGTGGGTGTTTTGCCTCTCCTGGTGCCATGCTGTTTCATCAGCCGATGAGGTGTCTACGTGCCTACAACCCTTTACAATCACAAACAGATTGACAAAAGCTTGTTTAAAGAAAGAAGAAACGCATTGCATCTGCCAGAGGATTCTCAAGAGTGCCTGGTATTAGCAGCAACAGATGAAAAGATGATAAGAAAATACTGCACATTTGCAAGAATACACATTCATACTTTGAGGTCATTTGATTCTAGTATTAAAGTTTTTAACTTAAAAAGATAACTGTTGATTTAACTGCATGTTCAATATCTGGAAAGTTGACTGGCACCATTTAAATGTTGTCTAACTTGTCTATAATAACTCAGAAGAGGCTAGTTAAATGATCAAAATCCAAACCTTCAGTCTTAAACAGGAAGTACACAGGAGGGCTATCAGTCAGATTAGCTTAGGTTTTAAGACAGTTCCTCCATGATCTGCACTCAATGCTTAAAACATTTCCTTTTCTTTTATACAAAAAGCAGTGCTGTTGGATTTGTTATTTCCTTTTGTTTGTGTGTGTGTCTCTCGCTCTCTCTCTTTTAAATAAACAGAGGACAATTACCAGAAGATTAACTGCTATTTTTAGTGATGACCCAGGAAGAACATCTGTGCCTGCTCTTGTTTGCTGTGACTGACATACAGATGCACCAAGTAAAGAATGGGCTAAGGATGCTGAAGAAAGATGAGGATGAATGGGGGGGAGAATGGTTTAGGTGGCATGAGTGGTGGCTGCTGTTAGTAGTGCGGCTGTGAATTAGAATTAGCAGCATCTGGGGAGCATTATACGAGGGTTGAATGCTGAATATTGTATCGCTGTGTAAGTGGAAACGTGCTTTGCATATCTCTAGTAAACGCCAATACTGTTAACCTGAGGGAGCGTGAGGCGACACAGCCTTAGAAGACAAATGAATAGTCAGGATGGATGAATAGTGACTTAAACCAAAGGATAGGAGATGAGGGTTGACGCACATGCACATGCAAAAAGGCACACATACTCCGTACACATGCACTGCTGATGACTCAAGAGAAAAGTCAGAAAAGTAAACTTTTAAATAAAGAATGGATTCAGGGATCATAGCTGCCGCTTCCTCATTTACTTGTGGTTTTACAGACTATCATGAGATCCTTCATAGCCAGTGAATATCCAATACTGAACTTAATAAATACACAAAAGAGAGGAGGATGTCAAATCTCATTCCTTCAGTTTTTTGAAAATGTTCACACAGTATAATCTGTGACCTACATAAATGCATAGATTAACATGGCAGATTAATGCTGAGGAGGGGAACTATTAGGAAAAGGATGGTGAATGTTAATTCCCCCCGTCACATACTGTACCTCCTACACCCACAGGTTTAATCCTGCAAACCCATATGAGTAGACGAAGATTTCTGCCTCTGATGATTTGGTATTCATTTGAAATAATTCACAGCTGAAGCCCAGAAGAATGCAGACACTGAAGCGGTTGATTGCACTGATGAAATGAACAAGTGAGCAGGTAAATGACCCACAGTGGTGTACGCACTGATACAAGCCTCTGTACTCTGCAGCCATAGGGTGCTGGTACATGAAATGCAGTTTTTCAGTTAAACTGGAATCTATTAAACAGATAATTGCCATCAGAATCATTCACTGTAGTGTATTGTTGAACATAATTAAAAAGCAGGGCCCGTGACACGACGGGGCACTATTTTGACAAAGGTGAGTGATTTTCTGTGAATTATGCAGGACTTGGTAAATTAAAAAGTCATGCTATCCAAACAATTACAAATTGTATTTTTGTCCCTATAGAGAGACAGGTGCTTACATGGAGCATCCATTGTATCAGTGTTCTGTAAGGACCAGGTATATGTATAAATAAAGCTTTTTTTGAATTCAGGTTGAAAACCACTACACCAATATTTTAAAAGAGTATATTAGATCATGTAAATTACAAATACTTTCAGCTGGTCCTGATTTCCCAAATGTGTATGTCACAGCAGCTGGTATTTGATTTGGCACAGTCTTTACATTGGATGCCCTTCCCAGTGCAGCTTCTTCCATTTATCTGGGCTTGAGACTGGCACACGGACCTGTGAGGAGTGGACTGTGTACCCCTCAAGTGGAAGACCAGAAGTTTATCCACAATGTGCCTCAGCAAGCAACCAAAAACAGCTGCTAGCCTCTCAGCTTGACAAGCTCCGATCTTTGTAAACTGAACACAGACACACCCGTGGAAGTGACTGAAACTAAAGATTCCAGTGTGTCATTATCATGCTAGCTTTCTGAGACAATTGTTCTGGAAATTGTTTCCCAGGACTCGAATGAATACATTCTAGTCTATTTGACAGGAGAGGTATTCCTGCGCAGCATTATGCTAAAGGCGTATTTGTATAGTCTGTGGACTCATTTACATGCAGCATTATTACACAAAACCATGTGAAAAATCATTCTTAAATTTAAACAAAATAGATATAAAATCGCTACACGCAGCTACAGCTAAGCTAGCTCGCACTGTAGCAGCACCATGTCCACATTCCATTTCAAAGCATTACAGAAACAGAACTGCACATCCTGAGGAGGAAACACAAACCCTCTCTGGCTTTTTAAAGTCTTTGGTTTTTTTAAATGTGCTCTAGAAATAAACTTTGACTTAACAGGAAGGCAGAAATAGCAAAACTGTGGATTTGTACTTGTATACATTTGTGGCAAATAAATAGTGGTGGGGTATCCGAGTTATTTTTTCCTTAAAGGCTTTGCTTTGACTCTGACTTACCAATCTCATTTCTCTCAACAAAATGTAAAAAAGTTCACTTTTTTAGAGGTCAGTATACAAACACATACTAATTTTCAGTAGTTTTTCATAAATTCAACAAGTTGATGAATTACAAATTTCATTTTTGTTTATCAGTTTCCTTCTCAGCAGTCAAACATGGTCCAACGTTGAAAATGAATTTCAACTGTTATCTCAGTTATCTCTTTCTTTTAAAATCAACAATAGATTCCATAAAATGAAGCAGCCAAACATCCAGCTGGACTGAGGACCAAACACAGCAAATTCTAGTCACGAGGCAATGAAAACTTAATTGATTCGCTGTAATGTAATTACCTTTTTCCTCCAGATTTCTAATGAACTAAGTTAATGTCATTTTCTATTATGAGAGTGCTTAATAAAAAGTTCTGCACTTGACCAAATTTTTAATTTGGCTAACAAGTGATAAAGTAACTTCCATCTCACCAGCTGCCCTCTGAGAAATCATCTCCAACTGATGCCATCTGAATTTAAACAATGTTTTGCTGCTGTCTTTATTAAAAATCTTATGCGGGCGCCCTCCCAGATCCCAGATGCATCCCACAACAAGCAAAAAACTTTTTCATAGTCCCCCCTTGATTCAAATTGTTTACATTTATGCTATGCCAGATAATCACAGGAACATACTACCAGCTTTTGAGAGAAATATCTAGCACAAGCTGTCAGAAGCTGGCCTTTTCTTTACAGACTAACCCTAAAAAGCTAAAGTAAATAAAAACCTTAGCAGAAATTTGACTGATAGCTAACTGTGGCTTTCACAGTGTTGCAGTGAATAGATAGGAGAAAATAAACTGTAGAAAATTAAACAGAAGAAAGAAGAGAAATAACAATTTATCATAAACAAGTGACACACTCCGGGGCCTAATCAACCCTGGCAGGGCCTCCTTGGATGAGGGTGTCTAGTGATAATGGCCGAAACACCCGATGAATCCAAGGTCCACTACTGACGATGTGTTAATATGATAACCTAGATCAGATCTCTAATATATGTCAACATATTGATAAATGCAGCTTTCCTCAAGTGAAAGGAAATTCTTCATCATATTCTCAGTTAATTTTCACACACTGAGCACTTCTTCGGTCTGTTGAAGATGCTGCTGACGCCTCATGAAATCTCCTTTAGGT